GTTTCTAGTTTCTATAAATGCGGTGTTGCTAAATCGAGTAAGAAAACATATATGTCAAGAAATAGTTCGGTTAATGAAAGTTGGCTGTTTAAAAATAGCTCCAGGCCATACACCGTAGCCGAAAAACTACATATTGTCTGGCCAATAGGTGAATTTGGATCCCGAAGTGAAAACATTTGTAGTAATTACAGACATCCGTCTTTTTATTTCATTTCATGATGATTGGGCGTTAATTACGAGATGTCGGTACTTACAGTCTGTTTTCTATACTTACGCGGGTTTCGGATTAACAAAATTATGCAAATTAGTCATTGATAACCAGTTCCAATGATATAGTGCTATTTGCGTACGTCCCATTTGCGTACACGGTCAATTTTGTCACATTTGCGTACACGGGTTAGATTATCTCTTGAGTCAGGTAAAAGTATTACGATATTAGTCCTACTTGCGTACATATACAGTTATACTCAATTTTATTTTTATAACTTTCCTTCACACCATTTCCAGGCTTAGGACTGGGAGCGATTTGCTGGCGTGTTTAAAAGTTTTTTTTGTATTTATTTTAGTTTTTTAATTTATTATTTTTTTTGAGTTTTTTTGTTTTTTAAGAATTTACAAAAAGAATGGTATTTACAAAATGCAGAGTCCTACAGTCAGTTACTCTAACTTAGCGACGTAAGCTAGAGAAGTTAGGCATTTTTTAACGTCTTTTGCTTCTGTATATGCCGCTATTATTTTTTTAATTCTAATGTCCAACTTGACGTATTTTGTTTTTCTTCTTTTTCCCTCCAAATTCAATTCTTTCGTTTACAAAGAAAATCACTATTTTCTGCTTCTTCTTTTAAGTGTTTAATCAACTGTAAGATAGGCGGATGGTTTCTTTTGACCAGATGATGTAACTTGTTCTATCCCTCCACGACGTTATTTGTACGATGGAGCTTATTGCTGTAGTTCCACATATCTGGCGTAATTTACTATTTTATAGCCACTGATCCACGAAATAATCGTAGAACTTTTGAAATTTTTCGTTAACGGGTGAATGGTTAGCCAACTGATATCCAAATATTCAAGTGGAATATACGCCAAAGCAGCACACATACGAATATGTAGTAGCAGTTCATCATCGTGCCGGTATTCTACAACTAGGTCCAACTGTTGTACTTTTCGCCATATACATTGATTGTAGTCGAAATGACAGCCATTTATTGCAACGTTAGGAAATACATTCCTTATAGCTATAATTACTGCTTCCTACAGTCACTAATGTTGGTTTCCAGTTTGTGGCTCCTTTTATTATCGTAAATAATCTCTCATATGTAGAGCGAGTTTTGTTCTTGGTAGTGCATAAACTACAGGAATTATGTTTCGCTCGTCTGTATTGCTTCCAATGTCCACATGTATTGTAAAAGTTGAGTAAACTGTTTATTGCAACACTTAAAAGTGCCGTCCATAAAGAAAGTATTCTGGTTTAATATAATCTCCTTCCCAATCGATGACTAAAATATTAAAATTCTGTCTTCGTAACCATCATCAGCGACCAGGAAGGAAGATCCATCGTTCAAAAGACGAGACCTTTCAGGTATTTCGACATCCGATACACATTTTGGCTCTTTCGACAGTCCGTTTGTCTTTTGTCTGTGTCGATATAAACTGGTCTTTACTGAAGACAATACTGGATTATTGCAGACAAAGTCAATTCCACGATCAAAAAGTGGCCTCATTTCTTCACGGTAAATGTTTGGAATGTCCTGATCAGTTTCTCATGCTCGCTTTTGGCATTTTCTTTATGAACTTTCACTTCTAGTTGTGCCAAATTTGGTTAACAGTTATGCTCAGATACTGACAGAACTTGGGATTTATTTGTTTTTAATGTTCCCCGGCATTTTTCACTTTTTTCTTTACGCACAACCATGTAACAACCTCTTGTTTGTTTTTTCTATGTTGTCGATAGTGTTGGTCCTTAAAATTGCTGATGGCTTCCCTTTGGTCGTATTAACTATTTGAAGTTGATCCATTTCGGAAATAAAAACGGTTATAAGACGACTGAACTGAATAATATGGCAGTAGTGCACTTACTAACGATTTTACTCGAAGTGTTAGGAAATTCAAAAATCAATTATCGAATAATAAATAATGTTAAATTTGACCTATTATTAACGATTACTTATTAAGAGTACTTATATAAAATTAGAGAGTTATTGCAAGTTCACATAAGATCAGTCACTATTAGTGCCGCTCTTATTTTGACATCTGAGCATGCGCAGATCACTAACTTTAATAAAGATTGTGCCGATTATTTTTCATTTTATTTAACCAGTTGATATTGCCCCAAAGAACAAGTCAAACTTTCGGGTACTTACCTGAAAATACTCATAAAATTTTTAATCTGAAACCCGCGTAAGTATAGCGAACAGAGTGTATCTAATATTTGTAAAAAATACTTTTTCTCAATTTGAGCTGTAACCAGGCCGTTGGAGTTTATGTCGGTCGGCGTAGCCAGGTATAGGTTAGAATTTCCTACAAGAAGTCGTTGCTTAGTCTTCTTATTGTTTATCAATATTGACGTCGAAGAGTACTCTGCCGATGATGGTGAGAAATAATTGGTATGGTAACATTGTATTTCTTTTAGACACATGTCACAATGCCAATGTCAATTGTCATTGGGTTCATGAAAATTAGATCATTTTGACGAACTTTAACCTGGTCGTAAATTAAGAAAAGAAACTGTTTACGGAAAAAAAATGGAATGGTTTATTACTTTATGGATGGTCTAGAATTATTATTTAGCTGTTTCTATAACAAGATTATTAATCAAAATGATGTAGTTCAATTTTTTTTAACATCGAAATTAGAGGACACATTTTAATGTTTTAAGGTAAGAAAAAAATATTTTAAAGCGTTTGCAGAGCAAAAAAAGTATTTTGAAATGTGTTTTAGAGGGTCTAAAATGGTTTTAAAAAAATAGCCCTTTCGACCGTTTGCGGATTTTTCCCGGAATTCTTTCCAACTGATTGTCGCTATATTTTGGTGCATTGCTTTCTAGAGAATGTTCTACAAACAGTTACTTTTAAAATCTTCGACCTAACTTTCGCACTGACATTCCAATCTACATATGTTTCGGAAAATACAATTTTTCCATTTTCTGGAGCATCGTTTAAAAAATAATATTTTATTTTTTAAAAAACGAATTTAAAACGTCTATTATCCCGTTTTTTTGCAAATCTTTTATTTAATAAAAGACTCATGAATTGTTATAATTTTTAAATCTTGAGGAGGAAGACATGATTCCCGCGTGTCCCTCTCCCTGGAGCTGCTTTTGGTAAGTTTTAGTTTTCTGCATATTTAAGAGAAGTAATTAAAATTTTCTTCTTGTATTTTGTTTTATAAAGAGATGAAAGTACGTATAATTTAGTCTTTTCGCTTCTTAATGATTTCCAGTTCTGTTAAATAAAAATAAATTAGAAGAGCCTTTGGTCATTACTTTGTAGAGATGTGTGGCTTTTTTAAAAATAGGCAATGTACAACTTTAACACGCTGCATACCAAAAACTAGTCATAAGATGGAGTTGATTTAAAGGACGCCTGTGTACAGAATTTTAAAAATGGAAACTCCCCTTTCCCCATCGTTCTCAGAAACCCCGTCCATGAAGAATTTCTGGATACACCACTGAAACCCACAGAACTGGCAAAATAAAAATAATCCGACCTACAAATACTGGCAACCAAGCAAGCGTTTTTCGAGAATAATTGAATATTTGAATTATTACGCAGAAGTGCATCTAATCGCCATCTATAGCAAACTTAGTCAATTAATAGTTTTTGGTTTGAATATTATGGCGTGCAAATTTCATCTTAAATCCCACGAAAATTTTGCTTTATGCGGGTCTGTTCCATCATTTTTAACAGTCAAAACATGGGTTACAGATTTTAAACGTGCCTGTACAATCACTAAAAGTAGCCATTGCGAACGTGAGACCGATGCAGAAAACCAAGACAAGCGACCGCTTAAGGCGACCAAAATGCGTCTCTTTACGTCTGAATATCACATGTAATTATATGAAGCACATTTGGAACCGAGCGACCAATGCAAGAGACCGCGACAGCAGTCTTAACACGTAACGTAAGTGCATAGGTCGTCTGTCGCGGTCGCTTGCATCGGTCTCGCGTTCCAAAATTGTACCTTAAGAATTCAGAGCACTCAGGAAGATTGAAATCGGCTACGACGAAACAAATGGTCCCAAAACAGGATTGTGTCCATTGGCAAAATCATATCAATATTACAAAAGGTATCGAAAAATTTACATTAATTTTAGGAATTGTATTCAAAACGTCATTCGAAGACAATAATTTACATGAATTAATTTCTAATTTGCATTTGTGTGAAAACATCAAATGGAATCTCATAACTTTAATTTAATTTATTGGAATTTCATAATATTGATTGAATGAAATGAGAAATGATTATTCCTTTTTAGAAATTATTACAGTGTCAAGAAGAATCTTAATCCAACTGACAATTACATTAATTCAATAACTGAACTTGATCATCAATCTGCATATTATCTAATAAATGCAATTAACTATCTCTATCATCTTAACAGTTACTTTATAAATTAAATAAATGTTTAATGCTAATGACAATTAAATGTAAATCAATTCCTTCTCCCACTTTCAGTGATGCATACCATATATACATATATACATATCAATAAATACTTTATAGAATAATTTATAAAAATAGAACCCGGTAATACTTCTCAAATCAAATCTAGTAATAATTATACATGATATGTAATATAATAAACCAATTTATCAAAAAATTTAAATACTTTTAGAAATGTATGAGAATAATAAAGTAATATTGTCACGTTCCTTATTAAAATATGAATTTCAAGGCTATTAAATTTAAATAATACGGATATTGATTGATTTTAAAATAAAATATTACAATAAACTACTAATTTGTCGGTTGGAAATAAGTAGTAATTTTAGTAATATTACCTTATCATCCACTATATGTCTTTTGATCCATTCATTCTCGGCACTAGTTTCTAAAGAAACGAGATCCATACAGCGTTTTCGACAGTAGTTTCTTGTAGTTAACCAATCTTGTTCAATACCTTTGGTGTTAGGGTCTTTCCAACTGAAGAAATACCCTTTTCCTGAAAAAAAGACAAGTTAAAATTTATTTTCAAGCGAATTAGTTTTATAAAATAACCTAGAAAATTTCTAAGTTACTCAAATCAAATTAAGGTACCTAAGCCAATTATTGCCACCCTAAAGAATTTTATTTTTTTTATTTTAACATATTCAACTAGATCAACCTGTACGTTATAGAAAACAGTCTACAGCATGTCTTCTAATATGGAACGTATGCCATTTATTTGTAATTTAAATTTATTATTTTTATTTTAGCATTTTTTTAAAACATTGCTAAATGACAATATTTGCAACAGGTAACTCAAATATTTCCATGTCGTGGCAGTGTTAGGAACATCACTGAAATAAGCAAAATAAAGAACAAAACTTTACTTACATTTACACTTAATCATATCGTAAATGCTACCCAGGTACAAAATAAAAAATAAACTATAAAGGAACATTCTTATAAAAAGTAACATTCTTGTTAATGAAAAAACTAAGTCTAACAATCTGGACAAATAAACAATTCTTTGTGAACGTATCTTTTACATACCAAGCACAACCTCATATCGATTTGCCTTTCTGTTTCGCATAGGAAACAGAACCAAGAGTCAACCACAAGTTTTTTTTTTTGAAGCAGATTTTGCGTGTACCCCTTTCTTTGAGGCCAAATTTTTTTGCGTGACTATTTTTGAAGCCGATTTTGGCTGAGAACTGAATAAATCTATCGTTATTCCTTGGGCCCTTGAATTAATAGCAGGCTTTCTTCGTAACGAAACTTTTATCTCAGGAGTAACCAGAAAACCCATGCCACTAAACGACATTAACTTAATTAGTGAATCGTTGTCAGTTTCTGTGAAGGGGGTCATTATTGAAGGAAGCTTCTGAATCAGATAAATCACTTTGGAGGCAAGCAGTATGTTTTTTATTTTTGGTTATTGATGAATTTACTCCACTTGGCCCGGGAATATGACTTGTTGAATCAGTAATTTTAGATTCATTATTTTTATTTTCATCTATTCTTGTTACGATACTGGGTGCAAACACAGATTCTGGCATTGCATCGGGAGCAAAAGAATAGATGCCTGTACTTCTAAATCCAGAGAGTATATTGGACGGTGTCATTGCGTTCAACAACACTTTTGAAAATATTTCTCCAAACCTTATTTTGGTGAAAGCTTTTCCAGGTTGTGTTGTTAAAAAGTTCAATATTTCCTGATTCCAAAATGTTTCCTGTGCATGTGTTGCAACTCGTGCGTGGTGTTACTATGTAAGAAAAATAGAGTGATTCCGTGATTTTCGACAGCATCAACAATAGATGCGTCGAGGTGTGACTTGGCCCCATCAAAAATGTAAAGTGTTGGGCCTGGGTTCTTAAACATGGCAGGAAATAAAATCTTCGCTGATCATGCTTTCTTTAATGGTCATGTTGATCTTGGATCCGGGGGGATAAATGATCTGCCCATTAGGGTTTGCAACGTTTTCCTTTAAAAAGGATCACTGGTGGAATTGCCTGCACTAATGAATTTCCACGCTTTACACTATTTTTCGCCAATACATTCTGTTGTTTATGAATCGTGAAGCAACAACCTTTTTCGTCCATGTTGTATATGGTCGAAGCAATGAAGCAAAAAGTTCCTGGATTTTTCCGTGCAAGTCCGATCGGAATGCGGTTTTTTGCATTCGCTTGCAAAAATTATTTGTATCATTCCCCCGTAATTTTCGGGTCATACAAACCGGTAATTGCATTGCTGCAGCCAAAAATGCATTCAAAAAATGCATCATTTGCGAGGCCTCTTGGATGATTTCAAAACTTGTTAAATAAGTGTCAGAATTAGCCCAGATCGCGTGCTTGGGAGTATTCGAGGTCGCTAATCATGATTATGATGTCTAAATGGACCCACAGCCGACCTGGAGCTCAGGAACGTCGACGAACATCATCTTCGTGGGACTCTCCCAAAATTCACGCAGGAAAGGAGGGCAACTAGGCGATCGGGGTTTTTATGGGTCGCTGAATCCAAATATAGCATCGGCGATTACCCCCCACACCTGTTGCGCCAAAACCTCGACCTGGACGTCATATCCGAGAATTTTCCTCACAATATCGACAAGAACAACCCGAAAATGATTGAGCGGAGTTTTTTGGGGCGCTGAATCTAAATTTCACGTCGAAAACGATCCCCTAAACACCTGGTGCACCGAAACTTGGCCCTGAACGTCATCCCCGAGGGGTTTCCAGACCCAATTGAAAAAGACGAACCTAAAATCGTTAAACGGGGTTTTTTGGGGCGCTGAATCAGAATTTTACGTGAAAAACGACCCCCCGAACACCTGGTGCGCCCTAACTTGGCCCTGAACGTTCACACCGTGGTTCTTTCAGACCCAATTGAAAAAGACGAACCGAAAATCATTAAAGGGGGGGGGGGTTTTGGGTCACTGAATTCAAAAATGGCATCGGCGAACACCGCATAGACACCTGGAGCGTCTGAACCTAGACCTGGACGTTATCTCTGAGGCGTCAATACTGTCGCCTTCCTTTCTCTACCCCCATTTTGTTGGGTCCATGGTCAGCTGGTCTCCGTTCAGCCATTGTAGTACTTGAAAATAGACCTTCTTTAGATGTTGTTGAATGGCGTCTACTGTAGGGAGAATTTTGGCCAAATTTACTCTCCCCGTCGCAGCGGTTCTCCTGTACATTTCGCACCTGTACGTTTGGAGTAACTGGTCCCATTTTGGCTTGTCAGGAATATTTGGTATCCTGAATGACATTGGAGCACTGTACATTGCCAGGATTAGGTGCGCCCCGTTCTCAAAAATTGTTTCGCTGGACAAACCAGAATGGATGAACTTTTTCTAGGGCCCCAGGGGAGAGTTACACATGAATGAATGTATAAAATTATGTTTTCGGGAGTTTTTTGTGATCGCGACTGTAAAACCCTCGGAGATTCTAATTCAGCGCCCCTTCATTATTTTCGGTTCGTCTTTTTCGATTGTGTCAGGAAATTTCTCGGAGATGACCTCCAGGTCCAGATTCGGACGCACCAGGTATCCGTGGGGTGTTCGCCGATGCCATATTTGAATTCAGCGACCCAAAAACGATTTTCGGTTCGTCTTTTTCAATTGTGTCTGGAAACCCCTCGGGGATGACGTTCAGGGCCAAGTTCCGGTGCACCAGGTGTTCAGGGGGTCGTTTTCGACATGAAATTTAGATTCAGCGCCCCAAAAAACTACGCTCAATCATTTTCAGGTTGTTCTTGTCGATATTGTGAGGAAAATTCTCGGAGATGACGTCCAGGTCGAGGTTTGGGCGCACCAGGTGTCCGAGGGGTATTCGCCGATGCCATATTTGGATTCAGCGACCCAAAAAAACCCTGATCGCCTAGTTGCCCTCCTTCCCCGCGTGAATTTTGGGAGAGTCCCACGAAGATGACGTTCGTCGACGTTCCTGAGCTGTGGGTCAATTTAGACATCATAATCGTGATCAGCGACCTTGAAAACCCCCGAGCACCTGATCTGGGCTAGTTCTGACACTTACTTAACAAGTTTTGAAATCAATAAAATACCATATTTTGTTAGGGGGTGTATTTTTATTTAAATTGTTTAAAAATAACTTCCAGCTTAAATCAGATTTTGTTTTAAAAAGGAGTTTAGCTTGGGATTCTATGTTTTTGACAGTCAGATAATTATTCCAATTAGAAATTTGTTTGTAATTATTATATGCTTCTCTCCTTTTTGAAATTATCTGCGAACATTCAAGTCCCACCAAAGTGGCCGAGAAGTAGAAGGTACAAAAGGTTTAATCTGTCAAGTTTCACAGTAGATTCTTATGTCCAACCGGTTGTCCAGTGTTTCAAATGTTCACGATATAGACACGCTTTGAAACTTTGTAAATCAAAATCACAAAAATGCAAAATATGTGCCGATATTCATGACATAAATGATGATTGCTCAGATACATCCTGTTTCTGCCTATGTTGTCAAACTAGTAATCAAAATTCCATTTCTAAAAATTGCCCTATGTACATGAAGCAATTTAAAATTAAAAAAGAAATGGCTATGCGCAACATATCATTTAAAGACGCTGAAAAAATTGTAAACAACCCTTCGTACGCAAAAGTCGCCACACACAACCAATTCTCCGTGTTAAATAATGATTTGAATTTTCCTCCGTTACCTAACACAAACGTATAACAAACTTCTACATGACCATTTGTTCAAAAACCTAAGCAAACCACAATAGCTAGAAAACGTAAATCTAGATCTCCTTCTCCTACCACAACCATTACAAACAAAAAATGTCAGGCTCCTAAAGAGAAAACAGGTATATTACCTAACCCATACAGAGATGAGTACATGCATCTCAAAGAAAAATTAATTAGTGGCATTTTTAATTACATTGTACAAAATTATAAATGAAAAGAACACAAAAATTCCAATATCAGAAGATCAACAAGAAATTAGGAAAGCTGTCACTTCAATAATAGAGATTGATATAGATGAAATTGTAGATACTACAATTTTGAGTGATGTTAATGACACCTTTTAAAGGACTTAAAATTATCATATATAATAAACGAAACCTAATTTATTAAATTTCTTATCTCCACATCATTTTGACATTCTTATATTTTCTGAAACGTGGCAAAAATCTTCAATCATTAATATTCGTGGTTTTTTCACAGTTCAGGTCAATAGAAATGATGAAAAAGGCGGAGTCGCAATTCTTATTGCAAATAATTTACTTTATAAAAAACTTAATGTTAAGAAAAAGTTTAATGACAATATAGAAATATGTGCTATTTATTTAGAACATTACAAATTGTCAATTATTTCAGTGTACAAACCTCCTAAAAAAGAAGTAAGTATTGTAGATTGGGAAAAAATATTTAATCAGTTTTCCACAAACTTAATTTTTTGCGGTGACTTAAATTGCCATCACACATTGTGGGGCTCCACTACACTTGATAACAATAATCTATCAGTTTTAAACGAGAGCCCATCTGCAGTCGACCTATCCATTGCCTCTCCCAACATAGTCAGTAAAATTAAATGGTCTGTCTATTCAGACCGTATGGGTTCTGATCATTTTCCAATTTTAATAGAATTTTTCTTTAATTTCTGCCCTGAACAAATTTTCCCATCTATGAAATGGGATGAAAAATCTTCTGACTGGCCTCTTTTTCAGTCCCTTTTAGACAATTTTCTTCTTCAGAAAACTCATCAGAACCATACTAATTTATTGATTTTATAAACGCAATCGACACTATTGCACCCCTATGCATGAAAACTTGTCCTTGTGACATTTTAAAGCTTGAAATGTCGTTTTTTACAGTACATGTCCTTTAAAACGACCTGGTTTTTATAAAAATATAAACAGAGGACCTTATTTTTTTAGAAACTAGGCAGAAGGAGCAGTGGTTTATTAAAATAACTGAAGAGGACCTTTTTCTGTTTATTTAGAAGCTCGGCAGGAGGACCAGGGGTTTATTCTTAAAATAATTGATCAGAACTTTGTTATTTTTTTGGAAGCTTGCCAAAAATATTTTAACCGGATCCCTGTCGTCACCGTTGTCCTTTATTCACTTTTCAAAAAGGTGGCAACCCAACTGGATACCTATTCTCTAACTCATGGGAGCACTCCCATACTCCCATGCCAACGTTGCTAAGTCGACAGAATAATTTTGATCTACTATTTAAGTAGTTTAAATATGCTTTGTGATAAATATGGCAAGCCCGCAATTCTCCCTCCCATGGTATAAAATCTGACCTTACTAGTGAGTAAGCACGATATACCCACCTAAGAGTAAGAGAGCAAAATATATGGGAGCACTCCTATGGGAGCGCTCCCATGACTTAATGAATTGCTATCCTGGTATCTATATTTGCTATTTTTGCCAATAGAAATTTGTGTTTGGTAGCTTTGGTTATATTCCATATTTGTGATCCTAATTTTACAAAAGGGAAATATTATTATTTTAGTTGTGTCATTATAACTTTTAAAACATTCTGATTCTTGCAGGTTATACCTGTTTAAATAAATATAGTTATTAATCGTTTGTATCTTTTTCGAGTTGGAGAAATAAATAGTATATTACATTACGAGTGTGGAAAGTGACATTTTTCACACGAGTGGGAAATATTGTCGCAAGAGGCGCAAGCCGAGTGCGACTATCACACGAGTGTGGAAAATCACTTTTCACACAAGTGATGTACAATATTTTTCCTACGACCACAAAATAATATCAAAAAAATGTAAAACCAAGGTTATTATTACTATAATAATTAAAATGTATTTAAAAAAATAATCAACAATAATAATCGTATTTATTCAATTTTCATATTTTTTAAACAAACAAAAAACTAGAAAAAAAAACAAAAAAAAAACAAAAAAAATTTCTGCCACGCCAGGATTTGAACCATCGATTGAACGCGGTCGAAAAATGGCAAAGTTGATAAGTTCGACGTCCTAACCACCTGAGCTAATAGCCCTTGTGTCAATTGAATGATCTAATCGATTATGTATTCAACCAGAATAAAGAGCAAACATTATTTTAAAATTATTTTAATAATAATTGTTAAAGATAAATATCTAGGATCTAATTTACAACAATTTCAATAATTTAACAATCATATCGATTTTAGTATTAATATGGATATTACATAGATCAAAATGGAAATTAGCTGTTTGACATTTTGTGACAACTACTGCGGAAAGTAACATATTCTCACTCGGGTGGAAAGTAAATTCTTATTCATACGCGTGTGATATAGGGCACTTTCCATAGGACTATATAGTGTGATATGTGTCACTTTCCTAAGTGGTCGTAGGAAAAATATTTTATTAATTCTGCAGTTTTTTTAAAAAAGTATTTCAAATTTGTCGCCCTTCCTCTACTAGTATAAAAAACAACAAAAATGAAATATGATTTAAAGTTTTTAAAATAAAGTTAGGAATCTGTATAAGGATAAGGAACTCTAATTACATTATATAAATTTGCAATCTCTCTATTAACTCAATACCTATTAATCCATCGATATTATGACAATTTTTTATCTGGTATGATTTTTGGATATCAATCCCTTGTTAAAAATGCTGATCACATTAATTTAAGATTATGGATGTTATCATTTTTTATCATAATGTTCAAATTATATTTACCATCTGGCGTCCTTTCATGAATAACTCTTTGAGCACATAGCGTTGGTACTGGAGGCTCCAGGATTCGATTATTATTTTGTGCCCTGGAAACACCCACAAATCCAATACACAATATCCAAAGTCCAATCATACTGTTCCTGAAACAAAAATCAATCTGTCAAGCCACCTATCTAATTAGTAATTAGTTTTAACAAATTATGAGGAAAAGTTAATTAATTGCATTCGGTAATCTTAATGATTTAAATACTTAATAATTAATTCATCGAAAATAAATTGTATAATTTTCTATATACAAGGTGGTGCGATATTCAACCGATTAAGATAAGATAAAGAAAATTCGAAAAAATGTTGGGAAATGATACGTTTAACGTTATTGATTTGAGAAAATAAGATTGGAAGGGTCGTTATAGGCATTGAAACATTTCCTTGGTGCGTTGGCAACAGAAAGGGGCACAATAGATCTTTTAGGTCGCAGTGTATTAACCCCATTCCCAACATAACATAACGTTATTGATAATATGGAATACAGGGTGATACTTTTTTGATACTTTTTTTACCATACTTAAACCTTTTCCAAATACATTTTTCAAAAAAACTCAAAAATAATAAAGATACAGATTTAAAAATCCGATTCTGGACTTATGTATTAAAAATTAAGCTAAATGAAAAGCATGTTTATGTTTCTATCCATTTTACCTTTTTTTTAGGTATAAATCACGTTTCACCGGTTATTGCAAATCGTCGTGAGTGTGATTTCAACAGCTTGTTTATATGTTTACGTTATTTATTCATGGCAAATGTCTTTAAATTGCCTGCAAAATGCTCAACTCGTATACTTTTATTTTCTTTCTCTTGATTTTGCTATATTCAGGTAATATTGGTAGCTTGGGCACTTCCAGTCACCAGATTCGTAGTTTATTTCGTTTATTTTACAGGTCTTTTTGTTTTTGCAATCACCTCCCTTGTGATGCAAATTTTGACAGTTGGAATCATTTCAGGACAGTAATATCCTCAAATACAGAATATCTCTTCCATCCTATATACACTTTCTTGTTGAACTAAACTCTGAAATATATTTGGGGAACGTTCAGCAAACAAAGTTTTTATTGATTTGTCTTTGAATATATTTATATAGGTTACCTTAAAGTAAGGGGTGTTGGCCACTTGGTCGCCGCGGTTAGTTTTGTCAGCGGGGTTCCGTAATCTCATCGACCACTTGGTCTCCAGTTTTAAAATCAGGTAGGCCTCTTGGTCGCCGTAGTTATCAATCATTAAAGGTATCTATTTCGATTTATTGAAAATATTATTTTTAAGAAAAAAATAGTTTAACTGATTTTTATTATTTTCCACGTGAATAGAAATTTTTAACTGATATGATATGGTACAGAATGTGGGTCAGGAAAAAAATAAAACCAAATTAAAGAAACACTTATAATTAATAGAAAACAATATAAAATTATACATAATAAAAAAAAGTAGGTACAAAATACACAAAATACCAAATAAAAATTATTTAAGAAACCCAAATTGCAATTAGTTTTTGTAATGATAAGAAACTACTTTGATAAATTGAGTTCGTGAAAGGATCTTATTTTTATATTGTTCTATTACGTTCGTTAAATACGCATGCCGTTTTTTGTAATTAGCGTTTTTAATTTTGTTAGGTATATGTGTACTGTTTAATTTCACATAAGTATTTAACTGAATATCGAGAATTACATTAACAAATTTGAATATATCGGGATGCGCCGAATAAAAAGCAGAATTAAAATGTTTGTGGAAAGACTCACAAGCATTTGTTGTGCGTTCTGTGGAACTTGTGCACGATGCCCACATTGTAGGCGGGAAGTCAGACGTATCGCTAGTATACGTATTAATCATATAAAGAGTATATGAAGTTAATCTCTCGTCAAATGGCATTATTGGAATTAAATCTTTACAAAAACACTCTGCCACTTCAGTACTTTCCAAAAATAAAATGCCGAAAGTGTAATGAAGCCATTTGCCGATTTCAGAATTTTCATTTTTATATTCGGAAATCAAACCCAGATTTTGTATCTTACGTAACCACGATTGGGTTAAATGAAATCTACATCCAATAATTAAGATATCAGGCCAAATCTGTATAATACCAGTGTGTATGGCTTTCTCAAAATCGCAAATAACTTTACACAGCTTCCAATCTAAATTTAAATTATTATAACAGTAATCTTTTAATAATTTAAATGCAGTTGCATAGGTACTTGCTCTTTTATCTGGTAAAACAAAAAATGCCAATGGTATGTAGTGTCCGTTATCAACAGCATGTATAGTGAAAAATTGTAAAAAAAATTTAGGGCAATAATTAAATGTGCCGTCGCAATAAATACTATCACGAGAACACAAGTATTTTAAATTTGAATCACATGAAAATAAAATAATTTGTGAATCTTCATTGTTAAATAATAAAAATTGTTCACCCTTATTTGTAACACATTGTATTGCTTTCAGTACACTATGAACATCACTGATACACTTTGGCAAAGGTGGCAATATACTTCTTCTTGCCCTGTATATGCTTCGTCTGATGAGGTCAACATCCGTAGTGGATACATTAAAAGTATTTCCTTCCCCTCGGATTCCGTTATTAATTAACTTACTGGGTTTAACGCAAATATCTTCTGTTGCCTTTCTTTTCAATCCGTTTTGAAGTTTTTTTACATCTAAATGGTCCGATGGTGGATGATTGTGTTCACTCTTAGATTTCAATAAGACAGTTTCCGAATCGTCCACTCCAATAGTCGCTTTACACCCACGACGAGTACACTTATATGATACACCTAACTTTGTTTCCTTGTCTTTTCCAAATGTATATTTTTTTACAATTAACAACTTTTTTCCTTTTACACTTAACATCGACTCCATTGCAACACAAACTCAAAACTTCTTTTATGGAATAATGAATAAGATGAGAATCACTTTTAAAATAAAAAAATTAATCTTTTCAGTAAGAATGCAGACAATTAACTGATGAAAAATATTTTTATTTTAGTTCTCGACAGGTCACAAACCGATATTATAATTAGAGTAATTAAATAACCCCATAATTTTCTTGGAACCCTTAATCCAGGTTTGGAGACCAAGTGGCCTATACCTTTCGAATAGCGAAAGGATTAAATTTGGGTAAAACTGACCGCGGCGACCAAGAGGTATATTCCCAAAGTAAGCATCATTCGCAAAAAAAGCATTTTGTTTCCGTATCAACAACTCAAATTCTTCCTTGGTTCTAGTAACTTGAATTCCTGGGATTTTAATCCTATGTTTTCTTAAAGTTATCTCAATAATTTCATAATTGTTTTTCAGATTTGTAGAAACAGCACTCTTCATTTTCTCGAGATCTCCTGATGAAGGAAATTTAATAATGACTCTTCCATCAGATAGCTCTTTCCTACTTTTTATACGAATACCCAGAGAATCAGGCCCTATATCTTTGTCCATTTCTTTGATTGTTTTTTTTAGTCTTGATTTAATTACAATACTATCACAAAAATGTATATTTATATAGATTTTGCATTTTCGTTAGTTGTTAGAAATCCCATTTTTAAGGTCGTTAAAATAATGATGAATATTAGTTTATTTTCGGAATTAGTTTTGTATTTAGGCTCCACCTTCACTTATAACTCTTATATATCCGCACTTCTAATACCCCACATGCATCTTTATATTGTACATTTTTCTTTTAGTTTCTATAGGTATATAAATATTTTTAAAGATAAAATAAAAATAAATCGCCATGGTGCGAATTCCTTATTTATGTTAATTTTTCAAGGTTATGCACCTTGTCCGAGGTTGCAAATTTACCAGATTGTTAAGAAAACTAATACTAACATTTGCAACCAATTTTCAAAACTTTTGCATTTTTTTTGAAAAAATTAAAGAAAAATAAAAAAATATTTTGATATCTTTTAAAAACGAATATTTCTGTGAAAACTAAAAGTTTGCAAATTGGAATAGTTGTTCCAAAAACTTGTATGAGTTATGTCATTGGTTTGCAGTACTTTTGCAATACAATAATAATACAATATATATTGTTTCAAGTTTGCAGCACTTTTGTATTTTTTTTTTTAGGAAATTAAAATAAATTTTAATATTTTGCAATTATTACTTTAGAAAAAGTTGCAAAATTAAATTTACAATTATTTCAATTTAATAAATATTCCAACAAAATTTGAAAACTTTTGTAATTAATGTGAATTGATTATCTGTAATGACTGGCCTAATAATGCAATAGTTTGTTTCTTGAAGGTTGATGTTTTTGCATAAATTCAAATTTGGGCACTACCTATATATGATCAACTAATTTGATAACGGATATGTTAATACATCTAATATTGCTTTTAAAACTTCTCTTAGATATTTAAATTAAATTTTATATGATTTACTATAGTTAAGTAATAAGAGATATTTTCTTCGATAGATTCCTATCTTTGCATACCTCTTACCTCATTAAAATATAATATACCATGATATATTTTTTAAATTACAATTTTTAAGGAACCTTACATACTTATATAATTCTTTCGATTTTTTAATTGTTACTATAATATATTTGAAAAATCTTTAAAAATGATTACTATAATTTAACAAACATTTATTTCAAGTAGCTGCGTAGATTTTTTAAATCATAGTATGTACGTGTTTTCTTATTTCTTAGTAGGAGAAAGTATAGAAAAACATTCAGCTAACATTATCGGTATCATTAATGTAAGTACGTTTTAAATTCTACTGAATATTACTGTGTGGTCCGCTATAAATATAGTCAACATTTTTAACGTGTTCTTTTAGCAATAAAATGTTAGGTATATTCAATTTTAATGAAAGGAAAAAGTAAAAAAAAAGATTAAATCGTAATGTACGTAAAAAGTAAAATTAGGAAAAACGAAGCCTTTTTAAAAATGTTTCTAACATCGTTTATTGTTAGGTATCCATAATGTGCTATGATTTTGATCATTTGTTTCATTTAATGTCATGCCTTTACTTTTTCTCCAAAATAGTTTTTGTCCAGTGGTTTGTATTTGACATCCCATTATGTTCTAAATTCTAAAATTTTTAGAACAATGGAGAAACCAAATATATCAGATAGAATAGATACGCTTTA